TTGAAGAGCAGAACTGTTCCTTCCTCCCCCTTGGTGATGAGGAAACATTCTGTTGAACTTGGCATCCTCAGCTTCTAGGAGACCTTGGCTGTCGTAATTTGATGCTATCAGGTCGTTGCATAACCTTTCCCACTGGGAAGCAGGCTCTACATCCTGGGCCTTCTGTCCAATTTGGGGTAAGGGGTGGTGAAAGGTCAGAGGTGGGGCTGAGTGAAGGAGGGAGAGACAAGGGATGTTGGCTGTTGGCCCTGGCTGGGGGCAGGGCCAGCTGGTGGGGACCCAGTGGAAGTTGAATTGTGTGTCCTCCTAGGCCTTCGGCCACCAGGATTGGAATGTCCCATCACCACACTCAAGGCCACCCCAGGCCAGCCAGAGTCCTTGGTTCCAACAGAGCCCTGGCTGCTCTGTGTTTCTAGAAAACTAGTATGCTACGGGCGGGCATCCTTTGGCAAGGGCACGTATTTATATTTAGAAATGAAGCCTGCTTCTTTAGAAGGTTATAGAATGCGCACTCCTCAGAACAGGCCTGTTCTTCTCCCCGAGTCACCAATAAAGAAGGCTCCGTGGGTCAGGCAGGTAACGTATGTGAACAAATGCTTGTTTTCGTCACTTGTGGGCAGTGCTAGGGAATCAATTAACTGGAGAGACGGCCCTGTCTAATGACATTCAACATTAGTTAAGAAAATACAAAAACCCATGCATGCCAAGCCATACTGCCAGGGGGCTGAACTCAGTGTGCAAGCTGCGAGGTTGCAACTTCTACTCTTTTTGATCCGTAGGTAATTTTGTTTTTGTTTTCTTTTTTTTTTTGGTGAGGAAGATTGGCCCTGAGCTAACATCTGTGCCAGTCTTCCTCTAGTTTGTCCGTGGGATGCCGCCACAGCATGGCTTGATGAGCAGTGTGTAGGTCCGCGCCTGGGATCCGAACCTGTGAACCCTGGGCGGCCAAAGTGGAGTGTGAGAACTTAAACACCATGCCACCGGGCCGGCCCCAGTAATTTTGTTTTCTTTCTGTTTTTTTGTTTTTAGATTGCATTTGTTGGGTACTTCCGTGGCAGGCACTATGCCACAGGACCTTGCTTAGAACGTTATCTACATTATCTTCTGTAACTTTTCCCACAGCCCCAAGAGATGAGTACAGTCATTTCTCTCCTTCTCGGCTGAGGAAATGGAGACTAAGAGAGGTTAAGCATTCTGCTAGGGGCCACATGATGCAGAGGGGGACGCTAGAGCTGGCACTGAGACCTGCCTGGCTCCAAAGGCGTCCTCCTGCTTACCTGGCTAATGTTTCTCAAACTCTGGTCCTCAGGCCTTTGGCATTAGAATCAGAGCCCCACCCTAGACTTATTAAATCAGAGTCTCTGGGGCTTCTCCCCGTGGTTCTACGGTCCTGAGAATTTTGCAAACGTCCTCATTAGCTGCACTGCCTTTCTGACTCAGTGCAACATGGCCTTTAGATCCCTTCCGGGGAAGACCTCTGTTCCTAAGCGTGGGCCGTGGGGAATCTCCCTCTGTCTGCCCCGTCTCGATGCATCACGGAATGCCATTTCACTTCCGTGGCCAGGGAACAACAAGTAAGTAAATTCATGAATCATGGTTCTGTTTATATTTTGGTTGCTGAGGCTAAATATTTATTGCTTTAAGTAAGAGGTTCTGCCTCAATTAGAGTCATAACTAACCGCAAGTGCATTGAGATGCATTCTCATGACCGTAAGACATGCATTTCTCAACAGAAAGCCAAATGCAACCAACACTTTTAATGGACCAGTGCCGCTGATCAAAGTATTAAGGTTTATCTAAACTGACAAATAGCTTTTGAAATCAAAAAGTGCATAGAAGTTTCATTTATGGGCTTATCTATTGTTCTTGCAATAACTTAGAGATTCACATTTATGATCCTATGGCATAAAGGTAAAAGGCATGGGCAATATCAAACCTGTGATTAAAAAGCACATAAACTACATTTAGTTTTGAAATTCATTGTGTCTACTTCCTGATTTGCCCCTTGCCATCCTTCCCCTGGAATAGGTGCTCTCCACATTAAATCACCAGGAGAGCTTTAGAAGATATTGATGTCCAGGCCCCATCCCAGGCCAATTAAGTCACAGTCTCTGGGGAAGGGACCTTGGCATGGATATTTTTTAAAAGTTCCCCTGGTGATTCTAAAACGCTTTTAGGGATGGGAACTACTGTCCTAGAAGCTTTAATGGGCGAGGGTGCTGGCTGTGTAGTTAGACCTAGATTCAAATCCTGACTCTACCATTTGCTAGCTGGGTGACCTTCGGCAAATTACTTAACCTCTCTGAACTTCAGCTTCTTCATTTGAAAAACGGGGATACCAGTGCCTCGCTCACAAGGTTGTCTTAAGGATTAAATGAGACAATGCAGGGAAGCACTTAACATAATCTTAGGAGCACTTAACGTGGTGCTTAGGAAGGGCTCGTTAAATAGGAGATAGTGTTGTTACTGTTATTATGAGGAACTCGGGGTGAGGGTCCATTAGTAGGAGCAGGTATCATTGAAGAGTGCTGGGGGACCAGGGGCTGCTGTCCTGGGATTCAGCCTTTGCTGGTGCAGAAAAACCACAACAAACACTGTTAGGGGTTCCTAATAATCAGACGCTTGATTATCAAGCATCACCCTTGGGGATCCACAGAGGAGGCTAGTTGGATCTTTCTAAATTTGTCCACCCTGAGCAGTGCCCAATGGGATACTGGGATTTGGAATGAGATGGTATCCACGCTGGGAAATATGTTTTTTATAATTGCTTACTCGTACTCTGAACTCTTTAAGATAAATTCCTTTAGACTACAAGGTTTGTGGGTATGGCTGGAATAGGTAATTGTGTCTTTCTGTTAAAGCCAGAACCCACAGTGCAGCCACTACTAGCTGGCCAGTCTTGACGACAGAGAGGGGATTGCCCCTCAAGTGGCCACGCTGAGGGCTTCTCTCAGCCAACCTTTGCCCCTCTTTCTCCTAATTCGTGACTCTTTGCGTGGGACTGTCCACTCTTTTGACATATACACGTTTTATAACGGATTGAATTCCTCCCAACCTCTCCAGCTTTCAACCCTCTGCTGAAATAAGGCAAATACTGAAATATTTTTCTCTGAAAAACAAATTAGGAAAACTAATCATCTGAAAAAGAGCAACACAAGAGCCTGTGACAAATGAGCAGAACCCCTAGTGTTGAAGACCAATTAGCAAATTTATTAATTAGGGGCTAGTGTACCCTTCTGGAAACATCCTGGAGGCAGAGACCAAATCCTGTGTGCCGACTCAGCACCCATTGCCCACCGCAGCGCAGGCTCCCTGCTCCTGCCGTCTGGTTGATTGTCAGAACTATTGGCTTGTTTCTTGGAACTGAAACCTTCACCTTTCCTTGGCATCTGGCCTCAAAGGCTGAGAAAGTCCGTTTCAATTTTGTGCACCGTGAACATGCAAACAAACAGAGTCCATATTTTCTCTCCACCATCCCCCAAGCTTCCATACAAATGCCCTCCTGGGGGAGGGATGAGCTGCAGAGCCCCGGCACGTGCAATCGTGGATGCTTCCTCCCTGCTCTTTGGCCTTAAGCTGAAGCATAAGTCATGCATTCCAAAGCCACGTGGGTGGGAGTGCGTTTTATGCTCGCTGCAGCTCTGGATTCTGTTCCATGTGCGTGAATAATTGGGAGTGGGCTCTGTATGTATTTATGGGAGGTGTGGCTCTCAGTGTGAAGAATGTATTTGAGAAATCTTGGGCCAGGTTAAAGAGCTTCCCATTCAGCCTTCGCAACGCTACTTGGTTTCGAGAGCCCCACACCCTTAAACATAAACAGTCTGTACGACGTGAGTTGTTTTGTTTCTTACTTCAACACTTGGGGGACTCCAAAGCTGGTTATGAGAAAATCTCAAGAATGCTGAGCATTTCCGGTGTGGTGCGCTGGGCCAGGGACATCAAAGGTTCTGTTGGCTGCTGTGTGAGTACAGAGCAACAGAAGCCTTGGTCCTGTGGCCCCCTCCCTCTCATCATCATTGCTTTCATTATTCACACCAGCCCAACATGGGGAAGCTGAATGACCACAGTATGTGTGAGCCACATACAGCGTTTGCCTTGGAAGGGCTTTCCACACGCCAACTTTGCGGAATCCTTGGCTCCACTAGGATGAGGGTGGGATGTGTGTGGGAGTGGTGGGGATGGTCATGGTTAATTCAACACAACATGAATTCAGGATGTTTCCATAAAGCATGACCTCATCTCTTCCAGCCCGCTGGTCATCATTATATTGGTGGTCACTTTTGACTTAGTGGTTACAAAAATAATTCTTTGAATTACCAAAGTGGAAATTCATAGATTGCACATAGATTGTTCTTACCTCCCTGCAAGAGGCAGGAGGTCAGAGCTATTACTAACGCTGTCTCTACAACATCAGAACAATTTTATTAATTCAAGGAAAAACAAAGCAAAGAAAAGCAGAACAAAATACAATAAAATCCAGGCCAGATCAGTTGTTGGGTATTGGGCAGATCAAATAGCTGGGGAAGTTTCTGCTTTTCTCTCTTTTCAAATAATTGTATTATTTCATCCTAAACAGTCACATTATGATCAGTAGGAAGACAAATTCATTTATTCAACAAATATTTGTTAAACACCTAGTATGAACTGGGTGCACAAGACCGATGGAATGGAGATACATGATGAGCGAGTCAATAAACAAAGCAGACAATTTCAAGTGTTAAAAGTAACATGGAGAAAATAAATTGACATGATTCAATAGAGAGTGACTGGGGCAACTATTTACATATGTTGAGTCCAGTAAAATAAAAGCAAATATTGAAAGATATTAGCTCATTGAATAAAACTAAGTGGTTACTACAAGAACTCATTCCTTTGTTGGAATTATCAGAAACTCTTACAGAGTCCTCTTGGACAGGGACTATTGTCCCAGAGACTAGCTCTTAGATGGAAAGTTCTGAGTTACCACGTCAAAGGACCAACTGCCTCTCTTCCTTTCACAGGGGGAAGTCCAGCCAAGCAGACCACCTGGGAAGGAGGACACCGGGTCCCGGCTCTGGCCTACTGGCCTGGCAGAGTCCCCATCAATGTCACCAGCACTGCTTTGTTAAGGTATGAGACCCCCAACTACCTTGAGATGTTGGGGTTTAGAGCAAGCAAAGTCATGGATGCTCGAATGACTAGAGACCTCGGGAAGCTCATCCACTGCTTGACTTTGCCTGACTTTGTTCTCAGATTCTTCCAAAATTCTGGTTGTAGCAGCATGGATCCAGCGCAGGCAGTTGCATGGGCTAGTTAAAGCAATAATGCAGCGGGACTCTTCAAATCATCTCTGGGTTCAATGTCCAAGGGAAGAGGAGACTGGGTGGGTTTCATGGCCTTCCGTGCTGAGTCGTGCCAGTGTCTCCTGGAGAGCAAGCAGCGGCATCTCCCTTTTTGGCCTGGGTCAAGCTGACGGGAGGGAATAGATCATTCGAGCTGTAATTATTCCATCCTTGGGGGTAGGGCAGGTGTCCGAGGGGTGGCTGTCCCCCCACGCTGGCTGCCAGCATGTCCCTGGCAGTCACATGGCCCCAAGAAAGGAATCTAGATGTCCACTTGCCCCAAAGAGGAAGGAGAAGAGAGTCAGCCCCACCACTCCAGGAAGGAAAGAATGAATGCTTAGGTGAGGACATTCTTCCTACCTCTAGCAATGAAGCTACTAGAATAAGGTGAGTTACTGGGTACTTTCTATATTCGAAGGACAACTGTAAATGGGACAATATCTCACCATCACTCTTACATCCTTATTAAGGCACATCCAGGAGGCTATCTCCCTGGCACAGAACTTAGCTGTGGCATGCCCCCCTGAAAGCAATGCCATGCAGCTATGTAACCATGACTTATAATGGGGGCTTCTCACGTGTTCTGATGGGGACTTCCTCTCCATGGTTCTGCCCCCGTAATCACTGACAAGGGGACCCTCCATAGAAACCGGTGCTTGCTCACGTGCCCAGAAGTTTTGCTCTGGTTAAAGACTGATTTACTGGTTCAAAGGTTCTTCACCATTAGCCGAATGGGTTCTGGCATAAAGAATACAGCCTCGGAGAGGAAAGGAAGTTGCACTGGCTCCCTTCCACCTCCCCTGCCCTGGTGGGAGGAAGGGGAGAGGCTGAAGCCGAGGGGAAAGGAAGGGTAAACAGCTCTGACGGTGAGCAGGCACCCTCCCTGGCAGCCTGTGGGCCCCTAGGACTCCGGGTCAGCCCTGTACAATCAGGAGGGGGCAGCGTGCTGTCAGGGGGTGCCAGCAGGTGTGACAACAGCAGCACAGGCTGGAGTCGGTGATGTCAGGCTGGCTGGGAAGAGGGCCAAGCGGGCTGCTTTTTATGGGGCTGACTTGGTGCAGTCAGGCCAAGTGTTCACGGGCTGGGCCGCACATGCACAAATACCTCGGCCCTCTCTCAAGTTACATCACTGAAAACCAAGCACGCGCTTCTCATTTGAGAACGGTTTGCGCCTACAGTCAACTGTGGCACCGTGGTAAAATTGCATCATCTCGTGGATAATTCAGGGCTTAGAGGTGACAACTGATTTAGGGAATAGCTTGGTGACAGAAGGAAGCGAGTCTTGGGACAAGGTAATATTTGCTTGAGGGCCCCTGGAATTTTACCAGGACAAGACCGATATACCATATCAGCCCCTCTTGGATATGTTTTGCCATTAAATTACCCTCGATTGTAGTAGGACAGTTTGTCTCATAGAATTCACTCTCTTGCTGTTTCCCCACGTGAATTCATGTGAAGCAAACCTGGGTGGATGTCCTTCCTGCCAGAAGGCCACCATGTGTCGACTGCCCCTTTCCATGACTCCCTCAGGGTCACCTCTAAGGAGAATGGCCTTACAAACCATTTTCAAGAAACTGATACTAATACTTCATGTTCTTGGAAGCCCCACCAGGCACTCCCTCCCAAAGCGCTTACCACCTATTTTAGTATTTGATTCCTCAGAGGGATATAGATCTGCGTTTGGGTCAGAGGTAACTCCCTTAAGCCACTTGGAGCTAAGGCCAGAGTGCCTTAAACCTGTATTCCGGTGGCCTGAGGAATTATGGGCATCAGAAAGTAGACAAGTTGATATAAGTACTCACATGAATACAGAAAAGGAAAAAGTGTGTTGCGGGGGGCAGGAGAGAAGGGGTCCACACTAACGCCACTGGTTACCTTTTAGAGATAATCAGTGTTAATATTTTGGTGTGCACCCACGTGATGTAATAAGATCAAAGAAAGGTCTTGCACATGCCCTGACCCCAAATCCCAGTGACACAATTGCAGAATGGGGGAAATTCATTTATTCAACAAATATTTACTGCTGTGTTCAACTATGGGTCCAGCATTGCTGTAGGGACTCAGATGTAGTAATAAGCAAATCAAACAGAAGGCTCCTGGTGTGTAGGAGCTAACTTACCTTCAGGAGGGCCAGGCTTCGACAGCACATGTGGAGAGAGCCTGGTGGTTTTACTCTAAAACTCTGAAGCAGGGTTTCTCAGCCTTGGCACTGTTAACATTTAGGGCCGGATCCTTCGTTGTGGGGACTGTCCTGTGCATTGTAGGATGTTTAGTAGCATCCCTGGCCTCTACCCACTAGACGCCAATAGCTCCCACACCCCCAGTTTTGATAACCCAGATGTCTCCAGGCAGCACCAAATGTCCCCTGGGAGGACAGACTCATGCTGATTGAGAACCACCACTTTAATGTGATTTCTCTTAGTCATGTACAAAGAGGGGAAGAGTCTGCTCTGCATCTGAGCTGGGAGACCCCCATCTCTGTTCAGAACAGAGCACCTCTCTTTCGGAGATTACGGGGCAAGTACAGGGTGACCAGGATGGTGTGAAGGACTTGAAACAATCTCATTTGAAAAACAGCTATAGCTGCTGTTTAGCCAGGAGAGTGGATAATCCCTTGGGGGATACCTCGTGGCTCTTTTACAATATTCAAAAGGCAGTCAGTTATGTGGAAGGAGGATTCGGCTGGTTCTGTACTGTCTTGAGGTGCAGAACCAAGTCCCAGAAATAAAAAGCTACAAGGACGTGATGTTCATGTCGGTGTCCTGCGGTTTAGGTGTCAGCCCCTGGGCAGAGTCTACCCACTTGTTTCCTTTCCAAGTGCCTCCCTCTTCCCTGTACCTGGCAGTGGGCAGTGGTGGGGGGAGATGGAGAGGTGATCTCACACCCACCCCTGCCCCTGGCTGCACCCTGCTCTGTAACAGACGTGCACGCTTTGCTGTTGGGCATTCCTGATGCTCTGGGACTCCCGTGCTCCCCGAAAATGGTGCTGTTGTGCTCTGCTGGCCTCTAAGAGGGACCCGAGGGGAGTTCTGGGGGAACCTGCAGCCTCTCAAACCTTTGCAGCGGGGCTTAGGCCAGGAAGGGTCGGTACCTAGCTTTTCCCAGGGTAACAAGAGGGGATTACAACACAGGAAGAAATTCACAACTAAATGCTAAAAATGAATTGCTGGCCACGTCCCGGGGACAGTTCCCACTCTTCCACGGTCTGGAGGAAGTTCTGCTCTCCCCTGCCTCACTCCAGACACAGAGGAAAAAAAGCCTCCGCTGTGCCCAGGCCCACGCACCCCAAATCCTTCCTCTAGCACCCCCCTCACCCTCCTCACTTCCCGTCTTCAGATCACATCCGCCTTTTTCCCAGATGTAATGTCCTCAGCTTCTAGGAAACACCCCCCCAGCCCCCCTTCCACCCCCAGGCCCTAGGATGCACTCCACCCCAGGACAGCCAGCACAACACCTCAGTTCCCATCAACCCGTGTCCTGAGGTCCAGGCTGTTCCACTGGGACAGCCCCTTTGCAGCCTTTCAGCCTCCCCCCCTCCCCACCCTGCCCCCCGACCAGGGGCAGGGCCCTCCTGCATCCTCCTCGCCATCGTCTCCTCTCTGCATCAGGTTCCTTTGGCAACTCCTTGGATAAGAACACAAATCCACACACTTCCTCTGAACAACCTTCAGCGCCCTGGGCTGGCTGAAGCCACATTAAGAAAACAAGAAAATATTTTCACATGGGCCACAGAACCTGCGCAAGTGTCCCCTGCCTACTGTGACGGCAGCCTTTTGTGTCCTCGTGCAGAGCAACCTCAGCCTCTCCTGCCATGAGGAGGCTCTTGGCTGCCCTTCTCATAACCAAAAGGCCCGGTGAAGTGAGGTTTCCTCCCTCCAGGAGTCAGGCCCGACTTTTCCATCAGGTCAGTGAGGCACGGTGCCAGGGCCCACGAGACTGAAGTTTAGGGGCACATGAAATTTTTATTTTCTTTTAAAATCAGAAGGAAAAAAAAAAGAACTTTTGGTTGAAGAAAATGGTTTCATATAGACTCTCTATATTCATCTTATGTCAATGCAGTTGTGAAATATAATTTTTAATATTTCGTATGGAGGAAGGGGCCCACGAAGGCCAAACTGCCTAGGTCCCACCAAAGTCAGAATGGAGCCCTGCCAAAGCCTCCATCCCAAGCATCGTTATGAGCTGCAGAAACCTGAAAAGGTAAATTTTTGGGTTTTTGATCTCTTTCTCCAAGGTTTCAAAGACTCCCAGGACCAGTTTCTGAGGTGAGATTTGGGATTTGGAGCAGCTGGGGTCCCTTTGGTAGCCGGTGGAACCAATGCTTTGTCCAAGTTCACACCTTGGCTGGCGGCCCGGCCCTGGGACGGCATTGGGATTGTGCGTGCCCAGGAGGATCTTGCTCTTCCAGGGCTAACCTCGGGGGCTTAGCTTCCTCGATGACATAAGGAAGGCCTTTTTGACAGCCCGAGCTTGGCAGTCAATGCCAGATTGGCAAGTGACCAGAGATGTTGAAGCTTTTCTCATGGGCCAGAGTTTTCTTTGTGCTCTGGGTGGACTAAAAACCACCTCTGAAGTTCCTGCCAAATTCTGAGACACTAGCTTCCATGAACATTAGACTTAGTGCCGTGTAATTAGGATGCTAAACCTTATGATAGAGGGGAAAAAAAAACAAGATGGAAAAAGAAAGTATATCATACATTCCCAAATCTAACGCAGATCCTGTTTTTCTTGCTCATTGATTTGACTCATGTGTGACGCCAGTCTCTCTTAGGGACACAATTTTGAGAAGGCTCAAACAGACAGCCCCGACCACCATGGCGTTTGGGACTGAAGTGCAGTCCCCTGTGCTGCCCGATTTGTGGCAGGAACCTTGGACTCTGGACAGCTTTCTGGACTGTGCTGTACTCTGTGAGTGCTCACTCTGCACTCCTCGGCTCGGCATCCGTGTGAGACGCCAGCTCCTGGAGCGCGTATCTCAAGAGATAAACCACCAGCTATGTGGACTGTGAAAGCCGAAGGCAAACCAGAAACACTCTGTACCGTGGTCAGAGGGGAGATCCTGCCTGGGGTTATAGCCGAGTCCTGGAGAGCAGTGGGAGGCCGGCGGAGGGAAGAGGAGCCCCATGACAGGTCCCTCCTGCAGCGCATCTTGGAGGCTGGAGAGCCCCTCCCCAGACCCCCCGTGGGGAAAGTGGGAGGCGTGGCCCTTAGGGTCTCCCTGTGAATGAGTCTGAAGTTTGCTGCTGTGCTCTGCCTTAGGGAACCAGGACCTCTTTCCTGGGGAAGTCCATCCCCAACATTGGCCCTGCCCTCCTGGCTCCATCAGGTCCCACTCACTCTCAGTTGGCCTGGCCCTCAGATAAACAGCTCTGTTGAAAGGGCAGCCTGTCTGTTCACGCTGAAGAGTTTTTTCTGACGTGAGCACAGCAGCCCAGAGGGAGCTATGCCCTATAGCAGAGTGAAAATTGTACCACATGACTTAAAAAAAAAAAATCACATTAACAAAATCCACCAAAATGTTAACAATGGTTGCCTTTGGGTGATGGACTATTTGAGTGCTGTTCTCTCTTTATATTTCTGGATGTTCTATTTTTTTTTCCTACCATAAATATTTACTCTTTTGTGATGGGAAAAAAGAGCTAAAATAAAAGAGTAGAATGTTTCACATATCATGGCATTCTAAACAAAGTCTAGATATTTGCAACACAGAGGCCCAGGGAAAGAAAAATGAAGTGAACAATCTCTGGTGGGCACCTGTTGCACACTGTTCCCTCTCAGCGAGTGGCTGTGGCCTAGTTGGTGACAGGTAGAAACCCTTAGTCCTTAGAGAGGTACCCCTGAGAATAATTATAACACAAACATCCAGTGAGCACTTTCTGCATGCTGGCCACCTTCTACACGCCTTACCTGTGTGTTTTATCCACACAACCACCCTGTGAGGTGGGCACTGTTATTATCATGCCCATTTTAGAGAACAGAAGGCTGAGGCACTGAGAAGCTAGACGGATGACAGAGCTGGGATTTGAGCCCAGGCAGCACCTGGCTCCGGAACCTGGGTGCTGAACCACTGAGCCATTCAGCCTCTTGTAGGAGCAGAAGTCCAGGTGGAACCTGAAGGAAGGACAGGCAGGCAGAGGGGGCAGGCCATATGGGAGACTGTTGGTGCTCAGTCTGGGCTGGTTCGGGTGGGTCTTGACCACAGCATGGCCAGGGAGAGTCTTGGAACAGCTGGGGCCAATGCTGTCTTGTTCTTCCTGCAGTGTGCTGGACATCTTCCCCACCGTGGTGGCTCTGGCTGGGGCCAGCTTGCCCCGAGACCGGCACTTTGATGGTCTGGATGCCTCTGAGGTGCTCTTTGGTGGGTCGAAGACTGGGCACAGGGTAAGTGGAGGAGGTATGTGCCCCGCGCAGGCTCTTCAGGAGGTTGGCCTCCACCTCTCATCCGGGAGCCCTTGTGCAAACAGAACTGTCCTCGGAAGATGCATGCAAGTGGCTGCTGAAGATCCAGTCACTAAGCAGTGACTCCTTAGAGATGACCCTCTCTTTCCACTCCCTTCCTTCTCTTCCCCTATAATCAATCCAGTTTGTCCATCCAGATTTATATTTAACAATTTGGCTTAGGGTGGGTGTACATTGGTGCTCATTCCCTATAACGTATGGGTTTTTTTCTCACAATTATTCAATTTTCTGACACAATGTAGGCACCTGGCACATTTTGTTAGATGAGATGGCTGACCAGTGTCTGTGACTTATGTGTTGTGGGGCTCCCCCACCAGAAGCTTCCTGAGCGCAAAGATCTCACCGGTGAATTCTCAGCGCACCTAACAGTGCCTGGCATCCAGCCAGCATGCAGTAAATGCAAATTGGATGCATAAATGAATGAAAGAAGGGACGTTTCCCGGCTCCTGGAGGGCTCTGCACACACATGACTCTACAGCCCCTGCACTAGCTTTGGGCTTCCACTTCCCAGCACCCCACTGTCCCTTCTTTGCATGCTCTGAAGCCCTTGGTAGCAGTGACTGCCAGGAAATGTCAGGCCTGATGGCCTTTCCCTGTCATTTCCGTGTGTTTTCCTTTTGCCAAAAGGAAGAGGAAGTGGGAGGAGAGGAGGAGGCCGGCGGAACCCAGGGGCCCCTTGTAAGGCCCTGTGAGTACACGGCTTCTCAGTTAAGGACTCACACATCAAAGAGTCTATTTATGTGTTTACCGAGGGTCACATGGAAGTGACTCAAGTGCTGCTCAAAGGTACTGTGGCGGTTACTGGAGCTGCCCTTCCCTCTCCACCGGCCCCAGCAAACCAGCACACTGGTCCTGAGGGGGCCATCGGTGCCTCTGTGAGCACTGGTGTAGTTTCTGTCAGATGATGTCTGGAATGTCATCTGAAGAAGCACTGCTTCTTCCCGGAGTATCTGACCCTCCGGAGCTATAGACCCTTCCAGGCCAAGCCTCACTTCCCAGCAGCAGCAAAGCAGGAAGATGGTTTCCGCCTGCAGGCTGGAAGTTTGCAGTATGTAACCCTGGGGGGTTATCGAAGACGTCAGTGGAGAGGTGCTCTGGAGTGTTTATTACCACAGCTACTAATAGAATAATTGGGGTCACCAGGAAGTGCTTCAAGGGCTGCGGTCCCCTTGACGTTGTTGGTCCACCGGTGGAAGCCAGCTCCTTCTCGCGCTAACTTCCGTTCTCAGACGGGAGCGCGCTCTCTTTCTCTAGTTGCAGCTTTCTGCACACTCACACAGGCCCCATCCTTGGGGCTTAATCGTCATTGGTCTCGTGCCCAAAGGGGTTGGGCCCAGGAACCAGGTAGAAGGACCCGATACGAGCCACAACACCGTTTGGGGTTTTCATGGGGACATACGATGTGTGGTAACACAACTGGAGTTGGGCTAATTTGCTCCCTAACCACACCCCATGGCCCAGAAGGAAACAGCTATAACTTACTGCTTACCGGAAGCTGCTGATGGTTATCTTCAAGAGTGAAAGCAGTTTAGAGCTGGCACCTGTGGGCCACACCGAGCCTCCCAGAGCACTATATTCCTGCAATGTTAGTAAAGATGCTCGAGATAAGATTATTTGGAGTTTGAGGGCAACATAGATAGTTGTTGGCCCTGAATTTGTCTTTGGTCTTTTCTGGTCAGCCACTAAAGAGACTAGAGTCCATCATCTTGAATTTGCAGAAGGGAGGCCAGGAGGTAAAAATATGAGTGACTATAGAGATTTACATACGTGGACCTATGTATATACACACACATACTTACATGTGTACACATGTATTTTTCAATAAACACAATTTATGTTCACTCTTAGATATGTCCTGGGCTTACAACGGTTCTAATGTGGGTTGGTTTAGAAAACCATTCCAGTTTTAAGAAGCTCAAAGTAACTCCTTGATGGTTATCTCAAAACAATATGCAAATACTTCTCAGCAATTGGGTTCTTCCCCATTTTGCAAACAAAGTAACCGAAAGTTGAAGAGCTAAAGCAACCTAGAGCGAGGTACCCTTGGGCAACCTCCTCAAGCCCAATTTTAAGAGCTTTAAAGGCAAATAACGGGCTCTTGGTTTTCCTCCTGAATGGTCTTCTCACTACCCACTTCATCCGCAGCTAGGGATATCATGTCTGATGTTCGAAGCCAACAGCGGCTGATGCCATGCTGTGCATTCTTGCATCTGCTGAGCCTTCTGCTTCTGATCTTGGTAGGTCTTTGTCTAGGCAATGAGGGCAACCAAGGAGGGAGAGGGGAGCCAGGAAGGCGAGGATGCACAGCCTGGCACCAAATGTCCCACTTTGTGCTTGCCTGACTCCCAGGTGGAAGCTGGAGGTTGTCAACACTGGTCAAGTCCTATCTCAGCCCCACGTTGCCATGACCAAGTCCAAAAATTGTCGGCAAAGGGACGGCTTCCTTAATGGCTCTGCACCTGCCCAGCCCAAACCAGTCTGGGGCTGCTGTGGGTCATAAAATGCTTGGCACATCCTTGGAGGCCATACATTGAGGGAACAGAAGCTGGTTTTAGTCTCCAGAACACGGATCACTTCTCTTAGGGAGGCCCCTAGTGGTGAAAGACGCCATCCGGAGTGGCTGGCAAATGGCCAAACACTTTTTGGAGACGGGAGCTGTGCACCCCACCCTGATGGGGTGGAGGTGCCCTCCTGGGGATGCTAACTAAGCACCAGACCCCAGGGCCTAATGTAAGGAGACACTGGCCTGCTTAAAAAAGCAAAACAAAATAAAACGGAGCAAACAGGTAAGAAACGCAGTCTGGAAGGTGCAACATGTTTGCAGAAGATAAAGTTATCTTTGAAATTCGGACCGGAAGTCCTTTGGAGAGGAAATGTCTTCAGCTGTGATTCATGTGTAAATTTGCCAACCTCCTTCCTATGTTGATATAAACAAGAACGCCATAATCAGTCTGCTCAAAGGGAAAAAAAAAAAGGCATATACGAGTTCTCCAAAATCCATCCACATTTCTGAGAGCGAGCCATCCCGAAGTTTTGCTTCCTTTTGGATTTTGGAAGCTGCCTCTGGTAACACCGCATAAATATCCTGAATGTGGCAGCCCACCCTTATGGAATTTCTGTTACTGAGACTCAAATAATGTCAATGATTCAAACCCGTGGACCTTGACTCCCACCTTCTGGGGGCCTGAGTGCATCATAGATCAGTTGACAATAGGTTTTCCAAATCTCCCACTTCCTGCCCTCTCCAGAAGGAAACAAAACAGCCTCCTGCGGTGAGAGGCTTGGCTTCCTGCAGGCCTGGAAGAAGTGAGGGTTTTGAGTTACTGACTTCTTTTCCTGTTTGGAAGGAGCCTGCTGTCATCACACTGGCGGGGGAGCTTGCGAGATTGTCACGAGAGCACGGAAGCAGCAGGTGTGGGAGGAGCCCCACCCTTGGCGGCATCCTCTTGGAGCTGGGAAACTTGGGGGGACAGCTGTTTACTGCTCCAACAGATGTTTCTCATTTTTTTTTTTAGCCCCATGGAAACTTTGAATCATGTAAGCGCTTTCCAGCAATATATATTGGTCATGATTCATACCAGGGCGGTCTCACGCTTCCAGCCCAAGCCCACCAACCTACCAAGGACACGGGTCATTTATTTTCTACCAAATCCCACCCTTGGAAACCCTTAATTAAGTGTTTCCATTCTGTAGAGTGATTCTTTCATCGATGACCTGATGGAAGGATTTCCTCAGTCCAAGTGGAGGAGGGTTGAGTCAAAGGTGAGGACACCTACGTTCAGAGGTTGGGCTGTGCCCAGTTCTGGAGAAACCACACTGAGCTGTCCTCGCAAGGATGCTTCTCATGCCATCTTTGATCAAGTGAGAGTTAGAAAATTGACTGGCTGCTGAAGAAGCCATTTTTCAAAGAGATCTGAGGATCACCTGCGTCAGAATCCTTGGGAATATTTTCAGACCATGCAGGTTCCCAGGCCCCATCTTGAACCTGAGGAGTGGGGCCCAGGCAGTGGTGGCCTCCTGGGCGTGTGACCAGGGCTCCACCCTTAGAAGGACCCTGTGCTTGGTTTATAGCCCACATGCTGTGGCTGTCTTGAAATTCTTAATTTTTGGACAAGATTTCTCTTGTTCTCATTTTGTACTGGACCCTGCAAATTATGGAGCTGGTTTTGGGCCTAGGAATCTGACCAGAGCTGTAACCCGCTCCAATTAATTAATTAGCAAAATAGCTATTTTACAAAGGCTCCTGGGAGATGGCCAGTGTGGACTATAGTCCCATGGCTGTCAGCGTTTGGGGCGCGGTAGGGGTGGGGGCCGGGATAGTGGGGTGATGGGGAAGCAGGACCACGACAAAGAAAGTAATGCTTTCCAGGGGGCATCTAGCATGGTTTTCCTATTAGTAAGCCCTGCCACTCTTTCTTAGGTGCTGTTACACCCCAACAGTGGGGCAGCAGGAGAGTACGGGGCCCTTCAGACTATCCGCCTGGAGCGTTACAAGGCCTTCTACACCACTGGTGAGTTCGAGAGGTGCCTCCCGCTCACACACCCGGATGGTGGCCCCTGATCCCTACTCCACCTGGACTCTCACTCAGGCCTCCAGGAATGAGTGTGGGCTGCCCTCCTTCTGGGAACTCTCAGCACCTCTGACAGTGTCCCCCGCCAAAACCCAGGTCTGGCAGAAGGTCCCAGCATTCAAGGGCCCAGCACAGGCCCTCCGTACCCACAAATGCACAAACAAGGTCTTTCTACCATTTGCCTAAATTTCCAGCAAGCTCAGAGTTAGTTCAGCACATTTACACAGCTCCTTTTCACATGAAGAATGTTTCATTCCATTGTTATGCTTTAAATGCCAGTTTGGCTCAACATTAAATGGAAGCTTGCAGATATTTTAAAGTGTAATTTACTTGACAATAGACTGTTTCAGAAAATAGACTTTAGAGGTCCATTTAGCAAACCAACAGAAGTCTCTCTGCTTCTTGCTTCACTCTGTGACTGTCTTAAATGTATATTTTAGAAATATGATACTGGATCAGGATGGTCCTCAACTCTTCCAATGGTTTCTTCCTGCCAACTGAATTCAGACTCCCTCCATCATGGGTCCCTCTACTTTTCTAGTCTTAGTTCTCCAAGAGCAATGGCCCTCTTCCTTGGCCTCCATATTAAAGTCCCTCTTAGCTTTTAAGGCCAAATGCCACCTTGATCACAAACTCCCTCTCATCCTCCCAGCCAGGTAGGATGTGGAGAACTCTGATATTTTTCACATTGTGCCATATATGCCAGTCATTTATGTACGTTTTATTTCCTCTACTGGTTTTAACCTCTCTAAACTCAGAGCTCTGTAAGCTTGTTAATCTTTATTGTCTTTAAGTGCTTAAGTGCGTGGCACAGTATCTTGCATCTAGTAGGAACCCTAACATTCTTTTTAATGAATGAAAAACGAAAACAAAAAAACAACCCTCCCCCCCAAATCTAGGACCTGATGTGGATTCCAATTTGATTCAGTTATTTGATGTTAGAGCTTTCCAAAGAATTATATAATAAAGAACACAAATTATTTTCCCCAAGTGTAAATAAATGATCCCGAGGAAAATGTGGCATAAAAACAAGTTCTTTGAATTCGTAACTCTAGGGATATTAAAAATGCCACAACAGTCTTTGATTCTCCAAAACCTAAAATGCAAACGAGTCAGATATTTGTTATGCTTTCAGATGGAAAGTTTCTAGATTACAGTCCTTACATTACATTATCTAAGAGGTATGGTTTCTCCAGGCTGAGTTAATTTCAGAAGTCATAACCCTGCCAGAAAGCCCTTGACACCACAGTATTGGAATTATAAATGTGACTATGAAGTAATAGGACTGTTTAAAATGATCACTATCAGACTGGAATTACAATACCCAGGGGAGGTCTATTCTTCTGAGGAGTCCCCAAACTCCCGGGAGAGTCAGGGTAGGGAGGACCGAAACCTCAACAGATGGGATGAAAATTGTGAATAGGATGAAACATGGACATGCTCTGATTCCCGTCCCTGGCCCTTGGGAAATCTGCATCCTAATTGTTTACAACTGCTTTTGGATAAGCTAGATGAGTTGACCTCTACTGCATTAGATCAGAGAAAGATGTGTGTCCTACGATGAGGATCTGCTGTTATGGTCCTGAACTAGGAGTGGCCTGAAAAGGCTATTAGTCTGTTTTGGTGTGTGGCCTAGAATTAAGGTATCTTACTGACTTTTTTTTTTTTTTAAGTAACTAAGGCAAACTTTACACACAGTGAAAGTCACAGATCTAAACTATACAATTTGATGAGTTTTTTTTAAATGTATATACCTATGTAAGTACACTCAATGCTGTGAATTACACAGATTGATTTTCAAATATTAAGTCAACTTTACATTCCTGGATAAATCCCACTTAGTTGTGATGTATTGTTCTTTCTATATATTGCTGGATTGATTTGCTAAGATTTTATCTGTAATTTTCCTTTCTTGTAGTGTCTGTGTCAGGGTTTGGTATCAGGGTTTTGCTGACCTCGTAAATTAAGTTGAGAAGTGTTCCCTTCTTTTCTGCTTTCTGGAAGGGTCTGTGTCACGTTGGTATTATTTCTTTCATGTTTGATTGAACTCATCTGTGAAATTATTTGGGCCTGGAGATTTCTTAATGGAAAAGTTCTTGCTTATAAATTTAATTTCTTTAATAGGCATAGGGCTCTTCAGATTTTGTATTTCTTCTTGTATCAACTTTGGTAAATTGTGTTTTTCAAATAATTTGTCTATTTCATCTGAGTTGTCAAATTTATTAGCATATTGTTGTTCATAATATATTCCCCATTGTCCTTTTAATTAACCTTTTTAATGAACCACCTTTTGTCTTTGTTAACTTCCTTTATTGTTTTCTATGTTATGATTTCTGCTTTTATTTCTATTATTTCTTTCTTTACTTTGCGTTTAATTTACTCTCCTTATTCTAGTTTCCAGAAGCAGACACTGGACAATTAATTTTAAACTTTTCTTATATTCAAATATAAGCAATTATAGCTACAATTTTTCCTCTAAGCACTGCTTTATCTGCATCTCACAAATTCGGACATGTTTTATTTTCATTATCATTTAGTTGGAAATATTTTCTAATGTCCCTTCTAATTTCTTCCTTGACCCATAGGTTATTTGGAAATGTGTTGCTTAATTTCCAAATTTTGGGGGCCTTTCTAGAAAGGTACTTTATCTTTGTAATTTCTAATTTAATTTCATGTCATCAGAAAGTATATCCTGGAAGTTTTCAATCTTTTGAGATTTACCGATATTTATTATATGGCCTTGCATAGTCTATCTTGGTGAAAATAGCCTGTGGAACTGAAGCAAATGTGTATTCTGCAGTTCTTGTGTTTAATGTTCCATAAATATCAATTAGATGGAGGTGGTTGATAGCTGTTCAAATCACCTATATTTTTCCTGACTTTTTGTCTAGTTGTTCTACCAGTTATTGAGAGAGGGGTGTTAAAATCTCCATTTAGGACGTGGATGGTCTAGATTTCCCTTTAGTTTTGTCTTCCTTAAAAACGGACTCTTTATCCTTACAAAATGTCCCTCGTTATCTTGGTATTCCATATCTTGAAGTGTATTTTGCCTGATATTAACATAGCCACAGTTTCTTATGCTTACTCTTTGCATGATGTATCTATTTTCTTCCTTTTACTTTCAACTCATTTGTTTGTCTATTTAAAATGAGTCTGTTGTAGACAGCATAGATTGGACTCTTGCTATATCATCCCGTTTGACAGTCTCTGCTTTTTAATTGGAGAGTTTCATTCATTTGCTTTTCTATATATATAAGATCATTTTATCTTATATGTAGAATCTACAAAGATTTCTAGCTGTTGCTAGACTCTGTCTTCCCTGTGCATGCACAGTTCAGGGGTCAGCCGAGGATTTGAAGGGAGTTTATTTTCAGACGATAAGGCTTCCCCTCCCTGGCTCATTCCTTCCCAGGATTTCGCCCACCAATTTTCATCTGTTGTGGTAGCCCTGAGGTAGTTTTCCTTTTTCCTTCTCAGTCTGGATGCCTTTTGTTTCTTGTTCTTGCCTAATTTCTCTGGCTAGAACCTCCAGTACAATGTTGAAAGAACTTCCTTATCTTGTTCCTGATCTTAGAGGGAAAACTTTCAGTCTTTCACCACTAAGTACGATGTTAGCTGTGGGTTTTTCAGATACTTGTTATCAGGTTGAGGAAGTTTCTTTCTATTCCTAGTTTGTTGAGTGTTTATCTCATGACAGGGTGTTGGATTTTGTTAAATGCTTTTTCTGCATCTTTTGAGATGATCATTTTTTTGGTCCATTATTCTATTAATCTACACTGTTTAACATTGATTTTCATATGTTGAACCAACCTTGCATCCCTGGGATGAATCCCACTTGGTTATGGTTTATGTGCTGCTGGATTCAGTTTGCTAGTATTTCTTGAGTTTTTTTGCATCTATGTTCATAAGGGATATTGGTCTGTCGTTTTCTAGGGTATTTTGTCATGACTGCCTGTGCTGACTAATACGGCATTTAAAGTTTCTCCATGTCTTTTCAGGGCTTGATAGCTTATTTATTTTTAGTGCTGAATAATATTCCATTGTCTGGAAGCACCACTGTTTATTTATCCATTTACCCACTGAAAGACATCTTGGTTGTTTACAAGTTTTCACACTTATGAATAAATTGTTTTGACGATTATGCTATAAACTTCCACGTGCAGGTCTTTGTGTAGACATATGTTTTTAACTCATTTGGGTAAATACCAAGGAGTGCAAATGCTAGATCATATGGGAAGAGTATGTTTAGTTTTGTAAGAGACCACCAAACTGTCTTCCAAAGTGGCTGTACCAGTTTGCTTTCCCACTAGCAGTGAGTGACAGTTTCTGTTGCTCTGCATCCTCGTCAGCATTTGGTGGTGTTCGTGTTTTTGATTCTGGCCATTCTAACAGGCGTGTAGCAGTATCTCACTGTTGTTTAATTTGCAACCACCTAGTGGCATATGGTGTTGAGCATCCTTTCATATGCTTACTTGCTAACTGTATAGCTTCTTTGAGAGGTATCTGTTCAGGTCTTTTGCCTACTTTTTAATTGGGTTGTTCACGTTCTTATTGTTGAGTTATAATAGTTCTTTGTATATTTTGGATAACAGTCCTTTATCGGATATGTCTTTCGCAAATATTTTCTTCTAGTCTATGGCTTGTCTTCTCATTCTCTTGACAGTACCTTTCACGGGCATTTATCCTGGTTGGTGTTCTCTGAGCTTCCTTAATCTATGGTTTGGTGTCTGACATTAGTGTGGGGAAAATCTCAGTCATTATTGTTTCATATATTTCTCCTGTTCCTGTCTCTTTTTCTTCTCCTTCTGGTATTCCCATTACACATTTATTATACTTTTTGTAGTTGTCCCACAGTTCTTGGATATTCTGTTCTGTTTTTGTCAGTCCTTTTTTCTCCTTGGTTTTTAATTTTGGAAGCTTCTTTTGAGATACCCTGAAGCTCAGAGATTATTTCCTCAGCCATGTCCATTCTACTAATGAGCTCATCAAAGGCATTCTTTTTCTTATTTCCATTATAGTGTTTTTGATCACTAGCATTTCTTTTTGATTCTTTCTTAGATTTCCATCTCAGAAATGACTGGCCCCCCCATGGGGTTTTTAACTCTCAAACTTGTCCACACTGAGGCTCCAACAGTTCGTCAATTACAGTTCAGTTTTCCTCCAAGGGCACTGGTTCCCGGAGGTGTCTGCTCGTAGGTTTCTGCCCCAGTATGTTGTGATTCTCTGTATTCACCAGTCTGTCTCTCCCATTTGGGGGCAGTGGTTTGCCCTGTGACTTTACTTCTCTGATAGATCAAAAAAGAGTTGTTGATTTTTCAGTTTGTTCAGATTTTTGCTTGTTAGGATGGAGGGACAACTTCTAAGCTCCTTGTATGCCGGACCAGAAACTGGAAGTTTCTTCTTTAGTTTTTAAAACCTGGACATTATGGATGATGCATCGTAGAGATTCTGACGTCTGTTATCTGAGGAGTGTTGATTTTTTGTTCTCACAGGCAGTTACTAGCTAATCCCCTTAAATTTGTGGAGGTTTGGTTTTATACTTCGTTAGAACTGGCTCTTTCAGATTTTGTTTGTAATCTTAGGTAAATGCCTTAGTCCTGGGACATGGTCTTTATTCCAAACATGAACCTTTTGGGACTTCAGTGGAAAATATGAAGTGTTTATCAAGCCTTTCTAACTTAATAGAATTCATACTCTAAACTCTATCTTCCCTGCAGTGGGGAAGTGACACAGAAACGTCTGCTGAGCTATTCAAACTTCTAGCTGTTGCTAGAATCTGTATCCCCTGTGCGTGCACAGTTCAGGGGTCGGCCAAGGATGTGAAGGGAGTTTATTCTCAGATTTCGACGCTTCCCCTCTCTGGCTCCCTCCTCCCCAGGATTTCGTCCACCAATTTTCATCTGTTGTGGAGCCCTGAACTTGGTCCCCTGACATCTCAAGCCAAAGAGACCACAGTCTTCTCCTTGGGCTCCAGCTGTTCCATGCTGCACAGACAGGGGGCGTCCCCGGGGAAAAAACTTTTAAACACAGACCCAAACCAGTGCGGCCTCCTCCTTTCAAGGATCGAATCCCTTTCAGTTTCTGCCTGTGTTGGTTATTTTTCTAGTGCCTTCAATTGGTTGTATTTTTTTTTTTAATATATTGCCTAGAATTTATCATTGCTATTCACAGGAGGGTTAGTTCTATGCAAGCTACTCCACTATTGCCTTAAGTGGGAGTCTTTCATTTTTACAAGAGAGGTCAGTCCCAACCTTTGCTTGGCTGATTGCCAAACCTCATGTCACTGCCCTTTACTGGCAATGAAGAAGAGCCAAATTCAACTCCAAACTCTAGGCAAAGGCAATAACTCTTCCTCTCTCCTGAACAACCTGAGTCTCAGTCACAAGAGGAAGACCATTAACGGAGGGCTGCCTAAAGGCTGTGCGATCTACCCATTCTTCTCACTCCATATTTCACATCTTATTTCTGTTCAGATTGGACCAGAATGAAAGCCGTATCCTCAGCATGGCTTCGGCCCCTGTGGGTTTGCTTTTACTGAATTGCACTTTGGCATTATGCTCTCATCATGTACTGAAGGGTGTGATCAGTCGTCATCAGCTGGACCATACTAATCACACAGCCATTGAGCATTCCATCACGCAGGGTCCCCCGGAGGAGGAGCACTGGGAAAATTTCTCTCACATCTCAGTGCCAGAAAAAGCTCTGTCTCTCCTGAGCGGCTGATAAGTTTCTACCTTATTAATATTTGGCTGCTGAGAAACTCAGAGGCAAAGTGGGTGTCTAGGAACTCCTGTATTTCCATGGGCTATCCTTTGCCTTAATTCCTTTTGTTTATTCAATTATATTATATTGATTTCTGTCAGATACCTTAACTATTTTTTTTATGGAAAAGGCAAACACAAAAAACGAGGACTCTGAATCATTAACAGCCAGGGATGCTGCCATCACTCTAAACATTTTTGTCACTCTTCTTGTGGGACTGCCTTAATAGCCAGATTCTGATTCATACAAGAATCTCAACTTCAACCCAAAGTGAAATTACTTGCCTTGCCGCCTAATTCACCAAATTGAATATCTTTGGTATTTAAGAAATCAATTGTCAAAAAACATTAAATTTACTCCCAAAGGGCAGAGATGAAAGATATTTGAATAGATGTTTTACTGGCTCTGAAGGCAACTCCAAGGAGAAGTTCCAGATCATTTTGACAACAGGAGCATCACTGGAAGGAGCCTCTAGATTCTCAACGTAATTTCTTTGACAGGGAAAGCAATCATTTGAATATGCAAGTGCTGGTTTGAATTAATTGATAATCACAGTCCTCCTCTTTCCAACATAGGGCCAAAGTTGGGTTTAACGGGGTATTTCTTGTCACCCTCTCTCCAGGTGGAGCCAAAGCCTGTGATGGGAGCATTGGGCCCGAGCAGCATCATGATCCTCCTCTTATTTTTAATCTAGAAGATGATATTGCAGAAGGTGTGCCTCTAGAAAGAGGCAGTGCCGAATACCAGCGCATACTGCCCAAGGTTAGAGAGGTCCTTGCAGACATCCTTCAAGACATCACTGCCGACAACATCTCCAGAGCAGATTACACTCAGGATCCTTCAGTAATTCCCTGCTGCAATCCCCACCAGACTGCCTGCCGCTGCCAAACCACCCAACAGACCGATTTTTCCATGAGCAGAAAGATCCAGAAATGAGATGGGGCAAGTTTACCCCCCAACTTCAGTTTTACCCTCTTTAGAGTTATGCTTTCAAACTAAGTCTCAGAATTTTGTTTTGAGGCCACCACTTGGCGCCCCCCATTGTCCCTTCTGCCTGCTGGCTTGAGAGATTAGCTGTGCTGAGCTGTAATGGAAAGCACACGGGCTTTGAGTCAGACCAGGTTCAAGGCCCAGCATCCAAACCTGGGCAATTGTTTAACATAACCTGCAAGCTGATTTTGAGGATTACCTAAGGCAGTACATGAACATGCCTGGCACGCTGCGTGAAGTAGAGCAGGCATTCAATACATTTTAGGTTTTCTTTTTTTTTTTAGCACTTCGGTTCCTTTTATCTTTTTTTTGACGAAGATTGGCCCTGCACTAACATCTGTTGCCAATCTTCCTCTTTTATTTCTTTTTTCTCCTGATAGCCCCAGCACACAGTTGTGATCATAGTTGTAGAGTTGTAGCTCTTCTATGTGGGACGCCGCCTCAGCATGGCTTGATGAGCAGTGAGTAGGTCCACGCCCAGGATCCGAACTGGTGAACCCCGGGCTGCCGAAGCAGAACACATGAACTTAACCACTATGTCACCTGGCCAGCCCCAGGTTTGTTTTTTAATGTGTCCAGTTTTGCTGGTCAGTTTAGCATAGATTCATTCCAACTGGTGTCTAGAGCAGGGCTTCCCCATCTTTAACACGCATTCAAATCACCTGGATCTTGTGACAATGCAGATTCTGACTCAGTGGGTCTGGGGTGGGGCCTGAGAGCCTCCATTTCTACAAAGTTCTCCAGGGACACCTTGAGTACAGGGTATTGACTAGATAGTCAGACCTGTTTCCAGGTCTCAGAGCAGAAGAGCCCACAGATAAGTCCATGGCCCTACCCGCCTCCCCTCACCCCCTTTTAAAGGTCAAATGGCTGTATTTTAAAGATTTTAGGAGTTCTTCCTGCTTCCTAAAACCACGAAGAAATAAATTTTTAAAGCCTCAAAAATGCATTGCCATGATTTTATTATTAGTGTCCTAAATGGGACTCAAAGGTAATAAATGATTTATTCCAATCACTGCAAAAATACTTTGCCTGGCTAAAACAGTCTCTCTCTCTATGTATGTCATATACCAGAAATACAATTTGAAGAGATTTTCCTATAAGTACATTTTTACACAGCATACATTTAAAAAGGATGCCCTTTTTAATATAAAATTCCGGTTATAGACCAATATGGTGAGTTAGCATGGACACTATGGCTGTAACATATTTTAAATAGCAGGACCTGTATGCAGAGTCTCCCCCGCGCCCACTGGCAGCCAGGGCTGAGGAGGGCGTGGTGAGCAGAGAACCTTGTTCTGGGGCTTAGGCAGGCGGCACCCCGCATTCCTGCCCCCCATTCTGCGCACACAATCGCGCTCCGTTCTTCCACCTTCCTCGTGTTCTCCGAAACCACCTGATAGGGATGTGCTGATTTCTGAGGCGCGCTTGTCATCATGACTGCTTTGTTCTGCCCTTCTGACTTCCACGGCACAAGATTATCTACCGAAATCAAAACAGAATGGCCTTACTCTTTCCACGAAGAGGCTGTTAGGCAGGCTGCATCATCGACACAGATCTGTGCCCATGCGGGGTTGGCAAGGGGAGGCTGTCCACAGACTGACCCTCACACATGGCCACAGGAAATTCACCCGTCTTACTTAGGTGTAGACGAGTACGGCACAGTTTCAGAAAATATGTATATATAAAATGTGTGTGTTTTTATGTATATGTGTGCTTTTTAAAAGGGCTCGTCTTAACTTGTAAACACCGACTGCTGAGTCACTAGTAAAAAGTCAGTCAATACCTTGGTCCCAATTCCCTTCCTCTTGCTCACAAGAGTAAGGCCGGTGTCGGAAAAGGTCAAGGTTGGCTTGTCACTGAAACAAAAGCTACTCACCCTCCTGAATACAGCATCTTTCTAAGATAACAGAAATGATCAATTCTTTTTTTTTTCCATTGTTTATCGGGGAAAGTAAATCCGAAGGAGATAAGAGTGATCCTATCCAGGGAAGTGTCAGTATATTTAAAAAAAAAAAAAGAGACCACTGGTGATGACCCATTTCTTAAGGCGAAGGGCCAGGGAGCCCCTCATGAGATTATCCAGGAAGCCCATGTTCATAACTGTGAGAGAAGTGATTTAACGAAGCTGAGACTCCAAGATTCTTTCACAATCCTGGAAGTTTTTAAGGAATGTGGGTAGAGATGTGAATTCTGGTATTTGTAATAGACATGACCATTCAGAATGAAGGCAGAGAGAGACGTTGTCTGGCATCTCCAGTTAAACCTTATTGCCAATAAGGGCGTGACTGAGATGGTCCTTGTTGAGAGCATCCCAGTAGCACTCACACCTCTGATCCTCGGGCAGTGAGATGGAGAGCCCTACCTGCTACCACGTCGGTATCTCGTAGGAGCACGGCACTCTCCTCCTCATCTACCTGCAGTTCAAGGGCGGAGCTGGGGGCTGACGGCCTCCATGACGCCTACCACCGGCTCTAGGGTCTAACGACTGTTCTGGGGAACCTCGTTCAGTCATCAACACTCTTACTGGCTGGAAGCCTTCCTCATATATAAATAGAAATCCCTGATGCAATTTAAACCAGCTCTCACTCATCTGGTCCTTAAGAGGGAGATAGGACGGCTGGCTCTTACCCAGCTTCCTGGCAGTGTATAGGCCCACAGGCCTCTCGACAAGTTTCAGCACTAGTTCTTAAGCATCTCCACTTTTTTTTTTTTACTCCAAACAAATGATCTACACAGTGTACCTATTATTTTATACAGGTTTTGTTTGGCAAGGGACCACGTCCTGAATGCCAATATCGAAAGTACCCCAATTCTGTACATATAAGAGGTTGTGAGGTTTACTGTGATTACCATTAAGAATCTAATTAATGATCGAATAATCTTTTATAGTAGTCACAGACTTTTACCAAAATTACTGAAATGGAACCTAACGAGTGAACACTCTAAACCTTGACAGTCACATTTATCCCCACTGCATCTGACTTGCTCTGGTTCCTGGAAGATGCAACTTCAGGTAAACACCAACTTTTGGGGGACAGAAAAACTCCCTTTATGGCTAGTCAGGGCATGAGAACCCAAATGCAAAACAACCGGTTTATCAGGAGGCAGCAAACGAACAGATGTTTTTATACTCATAATTGGTATTTTTAAGAACCTCTGCTCTCCACCTCTAAAATATAAACTTCCTTATTGGCATCATATTTGGCAATCTGCTTATTAAAAGCCAGAAATGTACATCTCAAGCTGCACTCCATAGAGCCTTTATGGGAAATCACAAACCCAGCCCTCCAGTTCTGCCCAAAGGGCCCCACAATAGCTTTTTTTTTTTAGCTGAATACACATACTAGATTGTCCCATGGATCTATGCAAGAAAGAAGTCAGACCTGCACTCCATCCTTTTGCAAATGGCATCTCAACTGATACAAAATAACGATCAGGAGAAAACATTATCCACCAAGACCTAATGGGCACCAAAGGAATACCCACATGGCTACTTCTATCTGGCTCCAGGACGGTCACTCAGTTGACTCTCCAGTCTTGGCCCAAACACTCCTTCCATCTCTAAATGATTTCAAGTTAACTATCTGGGCCGTGCCCTAACCGAAGTTCACAAGAGGGGTCTATTGCTCTAAATGGAAGCTTGAAGAATCAGAAACTAAGGAGGCCCTGGCAGCCACCCAGGGAGAGAATCTTCTCTTCAGACGGGGATGCTGGATGAAGCCAGGCCTAGTGCCCAGCCAACCCTGGGGGCCCTTGCTCCCAGAAGAGCTGAAGAAGGATGCTGGGAAACCGAGCTAGAGGTGCCCGGGGGAGCTCTCCACCACAGCTCCCGCTCTCCGCATGGCTGTCAGGCTGTTAATTAACAACTGCCTACAGCTGCAGGGGAGCCTGGGGTCTGTCCTGTCAGGGCAGGAGAGGGGTGAGTGTCCAGCTTGCCTGCAAAGCGCAGCAGCCCAGCCCTGTTAGATCATCATCTTCAGCCCAAGGACGGCAGCATTCTGCAAGAGCATCCTTAGGAGCCTCAGGAAAATAGGAGTTACACAGGCATGAGTTCCTACCTTATGAGCAGCAAAGATAGTGCTTCTAAATGAAGCAAAGTCAAGGATTCCAGGCTTCTGAGTGTAGTAAGGCCACCGAGACTCCCTGGATTAGTATTCGATTATTCTAATGCTGTCAGGTTTAGCACAACACCTAAAGACTAGCCTGTAGGATCTGAAGCACACAGCGCAATAAACACTCTACGGCTTTCTGACTATTAGACAGGAGGAGGAGTTGTTATAGACCAGGTAACAGGGAAAGTGACCTCGCCTCTTGCACGAGGCGAAGGTCTCCTTCTAAGCATACAGACTGAGCCGCTCTTTAAGGATTCCTAATGCTCACAGGCGGAAACTCATTCTCATCATCAAGACGCACTGGTCCCGTCGCAAACTCATGTTCGGGAATAACCTCTCCTCGGAGCGCCCCGCCATCCTCAGAATAACCTGGAAACCAAGAATGAGACCTGAGAGAAGCCACACAGTCTGTTCTTACGCCACGACCCCAGGGCAGGACCGCAGAGAAAGGGAGAATCCAGGGGAACCATGGAGGCTGCCTTTGCCTATCAACTGGAGAGACTGTTCTTCAGGGGAGTCAAAATCCCCACCATTTATGGTCTCAGCCTCTGAGAGACGGGTGGGCTGGTCTCACCCACCCTTCCAGCCCAGGCACCTAACACTTTGCACCTGTTTGCAAATTCGCAAAGAGGCTGAGGGTGGAACTACTTGTTAGGGAAATTACCGTTTTGTGCTATGCCTGCCAGGTTTAGGGGCCCGAGTTTAAAGGCTATTGCCATGGCCTCACCTGGGAGGAAAGTAATGGTTGAGGGAGAGTGCTCCATCCACAGAGGACAGTGGAGGGAGAAGAGGGTCGCTGTTAGAGATGCCTCCCCAACAGCGCCGCAGCTGGCCCCCTGCCTCCGCTCACCTGGCACCGTGGAGGCTGAAGATGTGCTTGGTCTGGCTACAGTTGCTGCATAAGACTGAGGTAATGGAGGTCTGAGGTCATTTTCTTTATTCTCTTCTGTGGTTCCTGAGCCAAGCAAGCTAATTGCAGCAATTAAGAGGGGAAAGAAAGAAAAAGAAGCTCATCACCAATCCAGGACACTGTCAAAGGAAAAGCTCTAGGAAGCTCGCGCTTGACCACTTGAGTCTCAAGTACAGACCTCTCGGCACCCTGTGCGTCAGCGTGGACTGACGTCACCTGGAACTGCCCGGGTCA